CCTCCCCCCCTCTAAAATCAATTCTCTCCTGGAGATCGTCTTCGTGAGCCTCTCATGATTTCAGGATAGTTGAAACCCTCTTGAACATTCAGAAAGAGTGAATATGAAATTCTAATCACGAAAGGTGTTCTGTGAAGCGCGTCAATTCTCTCCTGGGGAGCGTCTTCGTGAGCCTCTTATGGTTTCAGGATAGTTCAAATCCTATGATGTTCCGATTCAATGCTCACCGATGATCTGAGCCATGGGGCAAGTTTGTTTTCCTAAGAATCTTTTTGAACATTTCGAGAGCACATGTTTGAACATTTAAAGTGCATATGAACATATATGTACGAAAGGTCGCCTCCGAGGGGATAAATCACCATGTCGAACATTGCATTTTTGTTCCTGCCTCTCGTGTTCTCTTCTCTTCCCGCTGTCCTACCTTTCGTGTCTCCCTCCTCTCAAGTAGTGTTAAATCCTTGTTAAAACCCTGGTTGTTTGGGATTCAGGCTATTACTGTAAGTCAATTTGTGTTTCGACTTCTAGGAATGTAACGATATATCCATGTCTGGTTCGAGAGACAGAACCAGAGAATCAGAGAGGGGAGTGCCGTCGCCAGCGCGCTGAGTTGGTAGGGAAGTTGATGCCTTTTTGGGAACTGCGGAGGGACCAGTGTGCACAAAGGGCAGGCCGACTAAGGGCAGGCCGGGCCGACTTCTTCTTTGAGCACCGGTCGACTGTCTTCAACTTCACCTGTGAAGAATCCCAGACACGTCGCCAGTTGGTTCAGACTTCCACCGCAATTTCGAGGCTCCTTGCCCACGTGCACCGAGCGCTACTGCGAGTACCCACCGGGCGAGGAGGTGTCGAGCTTCTATCAGAGACTCGGCACGAGCGGGAGGAACGGAGCGCCCCACTGGGAGCGCCCACTCGGTGGGAGGCTGTGATGATGAAGAGAGGCTTCGCTGGGCATCTGATCCCAGAAGCCTTGGGCAGCGGTCTGGATGTGGGTTGGAACGTCTCTTTGGAAGGCGCCATAATGCTGCCCTCCCTGTGATGGATGTGCGACGTCAACGTCTTGCACCCACCTCGCTGGGCCACCTTGCCCCCCCCCGGGCTCGGAGCGTCGCATCGCATCCGCACCGGTGCGAGGAGCGACTGCCAGAACATCACGGCCGGCGGCATGTGTGTGGTTTCATGTCCCGCAGGATACGTCCCTGCGGAGTCGATACTTGGACAGGGTGGACAGGGTTTTTGGATTCGTGAGGATGGGTGGGGAGCCACACAGCATACAGCATGCGGGGTCTATGAACTGGGCCAATTGGTGGGTTTGGCAGAGGTCTGGGCAACTGGTGCATTGGACCACTTCTATTGACTCAAGAAAGCCTGGTGGTACCACATGGACTTGTTTAAACATGGGCCTGGTCCAATTGGAAAGAAGAAAAGCAGCGGGTGCATGACCTACTGGCGGATCGATTTCTGGAGGGTTTTGTATAGTCTTTTCGGATGTGGATGAGGTCATTTGGTTTTCTCCACCTCTCAGCACAAAGTGTGTGTCTACCTAGGCAGGAAGGCTGCCGCTCACTCTTCACTTTGCCTCCAACTTCGCTTCACCTTTTCCTGTTCGCCACCCGAAAAACCGGTGAACAGAGGCCTTTTGAGCAAAACCCCCTGTTCGCCCCCCTGTTCGCCGTGCCCACAGCACGAAGAGTTCAGACTGGCAGCGCTGCTTTCACCACCTGAGGATGTACTTCTGTGGTCCAGACTGGACCCTGTGGGGCATTCTGCCACCCTGCGAGAGGACCCGGACCTCGCTTCGGTCCACTCCACCAACCTCGTCCGGGTCGTCCGGGTCGACGAGACGCGTCGCGAGGTTGTGCGACGTCACCGTGAATGGGGGGAAGCAGAGTCGCAGAGCTTCAGATGTATGCCCCGGGAGTCAAAGACTATAAAAAGAATGGTCTTTAGGGGACCTGAAAGGGAACTTCCTTTACTCCAGCCGGTCAAAGTATCGTCTTTGGACTTACAGGGTATGGAAGTCATTCTGTTCGCACTACAAGCACGAGAGATGCCATGGCGGTGGCAATTTCCATCCGTTTTTCTTCCGGGTACTTGGACAAGTGACAAGTGACAAGCCCTTCCGTCAAGATTGAGGTGGTCCAAAGTAGAGGTCGTTCAGGCTGAAAGTCTATACCTGGACCGTCGACCATCCAATGGGTGCCCAATGGAGATCCCTAAGTAGTGGAGGGTAGTCATTGCATGGTCCTGGTAGGTGTTCTTACTTCTATGCTTTTGGTTTTTCGTGTGACATTTGTGCTCTGGCGTCAAAATGCTGGTGAACCCGACCTTTGCAGGACTCAGTGCGACCCGGGCACCCTGCCGCCGTCCACCGGGGCGGATTTCAGCCAGTGCATTTGGGCGCAGATCTTCGCTGGAGACATTTGCACGGCCGGGCTCCGTTGCCGTTCCGCGGTGCGAGTCCGAGTCCGCGGTGCGATCGCGGGGTCGAGCTGAGCTCTGTGAAGAGGAAGTTCCCTGAAACACGGAAGAGTTCCATAGAGCGTCGCCCCTGGACTTGGCTTTTTTTGGCACCTTGGCCGGTTAGACGATCTTCGCCACAGCGTCTCGGTTTCGGCTTCACCGGACCGTCACCGGGTCGCTCGGGTTGCCAGCTTTGGACCGACCTCGGTGGCGTTCGAAGCCTGCGCCAGGTGCCCTGCATGTTCGGCTATGGAGGCTCCGGGGGGGTGGGACTTGGCGAAGGACGGCTCCGGTTCGGGTCGCAACCGACCGCCCGCCCGCTGACTGCGGAAAAGGACCAGAGAAAGCGTTCTACCAGGACCATTCTGTGGTGTCCTGGCTGGACTCCCCTACACTGCTTGAAGAAATCTCCGGACACCCAGACAGGATGGTGCAGGTATTTCGAAATACAGACAACAGATGCAAAGACCAAAACGCCGTCCGCCCCGGCCCCCGGCTTGATCGCGGTCGCACGCCATCTTCGGGCCGCCCGGCCCGGCGGCGCCGCGCCGCCGGGTGTGGGGAGGTGCGACGCCCGAGAACATGACCTGCCTGGAGTCCGGCGACTTCCAGGGGCAGTCCTTGACCTGTGTGCCCTGGAAGATCTGTTTGTGGACAGTGCAAGGGGGGGAGGAGTAGTTTCTGGAGGAGTTTTGAGGTTTGAACTTGGAAGTCTCGGTCAAATGATACAAGTCAGACTACTCATTAAAGTTAGATAAAGTTAGTTGGTTTGACCGTCCAGAATAGTTCATGGGTTTGGTCTTCCAGCTTGTCCGACGGACAGTGGCGCAGACAGCCGTGGGTTGTTCTTACTCCCGAGGAGCCCAAGAGCTGTGTCCCCACGTGGCCCAGCAATGTCAGCTTCGAAGTGAACTGCCGAGCTGCTCTGTGGCACGGGGGTGGATGGGACTTCCGCTGAAAAACGGAACGGGTGTCGAGCGTGAGGAGCTCCTCTGGGGGGGGCACCCGACACGTGTGGAGAGGGAGTGAGTTCAAGCGATCCGGGCTCTTCGGTCCGTGCGTTTCCCCTTTGAAGCTTTCTGACCCAGCTGAGCCAACCCCCCCCCCCGCGCCCACTGGCCAAGGATGCCAGTGCGGCATCGCTGGCGTCGGCAGTGCACGGAGATATCTGCGTGGCCTACTGCATGCAGGGCTATGCCGGGCAGTCGACGCAGCTGCAATGCGCCCCTTGGTCTCGGTGGCGTTCCAAGTGTTCGCCCAAGTGTTCGAGTCGTTCTGAAGGTCCTAAGGTGTTTTTTCCAAGCAAAGGATTAAAGGATTTTAACCAAAGTGCGAGCTCATTCCAACCCAGCGGGTTTCTGGGCCGGGATTTGAGCCGACCAAAAGCAGGGTATTGGGATACAAGACTTTCGGGGTTTTCACTGGTACTAGATAGATCCCCCAGAAGTCCAGGAACCGACCATACATGGACCGACTGAAGTTCAAGTTCCGGAACTCACTCAGGTCCCCATTGGTCAGACCAATGTTACTTTAGTGTTTATAGATGGTACATGGCCCTGCTTGAGCCCTGGTGGTCTCGGTGGCGACATCTTCAGTGGCAAACTGCTTCAGGGTCAAGTAGGGATCAGCCAATTGCTACTGCCAACTCCGTAGTCCACCAGCGGTTTGCCGCTACCCCAAATCCTTCGCAAACCACTACCTTTCCAGCCACCAGGTTCCCAGCTTCCCCCAGGTCCACCCGTTCCGCTCGACCGATCAGCTCCACCCGTCGACCGTTCCATCGACCGTCGGGTCTGCGACCCTGCGCGCCACGCCTCTGGGTCGAAGCGAAGGAGATCGGTGCCGATCTTGCGAGCCAGGTGGATGGCAGCTTCCAAGGAAGCTTGCCGACCTGTCTCCCGGTCACCTGCACCTGGCAGGGCTTCACGCTGCGCCAGAATGTGCCACGTGGCATGGAACTTGGGTGACAGAAGGAGCGGAACTTGGCCACGATGCGCGACGTGACCTCTTTTTCGGGGCTTTTTGGACCCAAACACTCCCTGGGACTGGCATATTGACCGATCAGTTGGGGTGGTTGAAAAGGGGTCGTATGAATATGCCAGTCCCATTAGTCGTGTCTGGGGGTGGCGGTTGGGCCCCAGAACACGCAGTGCGGGCTGCGGTGTGGAGGATACCGTGGAGGTTTGCAGCATTGGTGAACTGAAAACCATCCAGCTGTGCAGAAAACACGAGAGAGAAAGAAACTGGATAGATGGCACATGATGGCCCTGGTTCCAGAATGGAGCCAGTAGCCAGAGGATGGACTGAGCTTTCGGGCCGAATGGCCATCATCCCTGTTTCCTCCTTGTTCCGTTGGCGTTCCTCGGTCATGTGACCTTACGCCACCCATCGTTCACGTGCTTCGAGTGCTTCGAGTTGCTTCATTCAGCGCCGTGGCCGGGGCCTTTGCATCGCGCAACGGCCGAGGGACAACACGGATTGCGACGGGAAGAAGGTGGAGGAGACCTGTGCTTTGGCGTGAGCCGAGGGGGCCAGGGATTTTCTGGGATTATCATGGATGATCAGGTGAAGCTGGCAGCTCCAATTCTGCTAGCTCTTCGAGCTCTGCCCAAATTCAGAGAGAATATGGTACCTGTTTCACAGCATGTTCCTCTACCCTCCGAACATCGTTGATGCTTTGTCAGGAAGCTCATTCGACTTCTCGATGACATGGTGATGGTGATGACAGGGACGGTTTGACTGGGACTCTTGAGGGTTCGGACTGGCGACGGTTTTGCTACCATGGCTACCGCTGCTGCCGTGGCAGTGCTTTCACCTCTTGGCTCACCAGCTTTGCTCACCGGCCGTGTTCTGCACCTAAGGTCAGTTGACCTGCGAGGTGGGCTACGATGCCACGGGGAGCTCCAACGTCCTGTGCCAAACAGACAACTTCTTCAGCGAGCCGCAGCTCACCTGCTCCCCCTCCACCTGCGGAGACCTGTCGCTGGTCTCAGGCTTTCCCGCCCACGTGGCCGCACGGCGGAAGTTTTGGGATGGGGGGGGTGGGATCTTCGGCCCATGAGGGCGAGAACGAAAGAACTGACCGAAGCGGTTGACCATGGACCCCAAGTCCTGTGGCTGGGCTCTCAGACATGTTTGGCCGCACAAGTTCTTTGTCATTTTACCAATTGCTCCCAGAAAACATTCAAAACACAAGGCATCTCGTTGGTCCGGGCATGGTCGTGTCATGTGTTTCGCATATCTCGTTGGTCCGGGCATGGTCCTGTCGTGTCATGTGAAACACATATCGCGCGGGCTGTTCGATCACCGTCTCTCGTCTCAGATTGGGCACGACTGTGCATCGGCGGCCTTCCAGAGATCTTGTTCGGCCTTTTGCCTGGACGGCTATCGGCCGCTGGGCAAGACTGGCGAGGAGTTTGACCGAAACAGCTGCAGAAGACGGTGCGGTTGGCCGCAGGTTTGCCGAGTTCAGACGCGGATTACAGATCTTCTTGTGGGGAAACTCCAGGATCCAGACAGGGGTTGATTCATTCAGACATTTTGGCTAAGAATGCTTGGTCCATCTAGTGAATCTACTGCCCCCGAGCGAATCAGCAGAGCCGGATCTTGTTCCGTCAAAAGGACCAAGCCGAGCATCGAACGCACCAGACCACCTCCAAATTCGTTCCCCTAGACTTCCAAGACCATCAAACAAATGGTTGACCTGGTGTTTGCAGTGTAAAATCCCTAGTTGATTCGGTAAAGCCCATTGAATTAATGCTTGTTGGAAGCCTAGGGTTCCCACCCCCCCCCCGATGCAGCATTCTCGCACTGTATCGACTCGGCACGCGCGCAGCCTAGGCAAGAGGGTGGCATGGCGAGCCTGAAGTGCTCTGGGGGGACCGTATTCGAAGGCTATACCAACCAAAGTGGCCAACCGCCTGAGCCGCCCACGCTGCTGGGTCGCGCTGGCTTGGTGAACGTTGGGGTGAACGTTTGGCAGTCACATGTTCGGTCCAAACTGAGGAAGCACCGAGTTGCGGGTTGCTCACTTTGACAGTGTGGAGACAGGATACAAGATGCTTTAAATATTCTTTCCTTTATATGACTTTTCTCTAATTACAACCATAATAAAAGATACCGATGATACCGGAATCCGGTCTTGGTATACCTTTTACACATGATGGTGGGCAGGACGTACGTCCTGCTTTCTGTACGGCCGATCCTGGCTGATTCAGCTTTTGGAAACGTCTCCGGATGCTTTGGGTATGGAGAACACGGATCGTTGAGCCAAGTACAAAGCTACATGGAGCTACTAGTGACTAGGTGGTGGAAAAGGGATGCTTTGGGTTTCTCGCCATGACGAGCGTCTTTCCAGCGTTCTGGCCGGGCCCTGGCCGCCGGCCCTGGCGGCCGAAGGGTGGGAGACACCTGACCAATCCAGACCCCAACACATCCGTGCTGCTGCATCGAATGAGCGGGGCCACTGGACCGAGTCGAGTGGAGACGGTGTTCCAATGTCTTTAAGAGCCTTTCTGAACGGAATGGCACCCCTTGGGCATCTTCTGCCCTGCAACATGGTGATTTTTCGTATTGGTAGGTTGTTATTCTTTTATTATTTTCAGACATGTCACATGTTCGCATCTTCAAAGAAGCTCCAGAACGTCCCAATCCACACTAGGTCTATCCTGGTCACAGGCATGCTCGGATATTTTGGAGCCTCACTCTTGAGAATGGCCCTTGGTCCACTCACTCTCCCTTCTCGGCAAGAAGCTGCGAAGCGCTCCGCGCTCCACGCTCCGCGCGCTCCGCTCCGTGCGCCGCGCGAACGGTGCTCCGCTCCGAACGGCGGAGCGAGCGAGGTGTGTGGCTTTGCCCTGCACCAGCGGCTTTCCCACCATGCGAGGTGCCGTTCCCGCCGAACGGGTCCAAAGAGCACACCGACCGGGAAAGTGGGGCAGTCCTGGAGGAAAGTTGGAGACACCACGGGAGTTGGAAGCTTTGGCTCCCCACACATCTTTTTTTCTTTCAATTGGAGGGGAAGAAAGCACAAGGGAACCACTTAAAGCTATAGGTCTCTATAATTTCAGCACTTTGAACCAGCCATCCACTTTGAACCGGGCCGGGCTCAGGGGCCGAGGGTCCAGATCAGATCGATTTGGGTGCGGTGGCGTGGAGCTCTTGGTGCTTCCAAGGGTTCGACCCCCCCCCGTTCGACCCAAACAGACCAGCCGACCCGGCCAGGACCACTCAGACGCCAGTGGCCGCCCGTCGCATCGGTCGCGGCCGTCACGGCCGTCGGTCCAGGAGCCGTCCACAATTGCTCCGGGGTGGTCACCGGAGAATCCTGCACGGTGGAAGCGATGACAGGCGCCGCGCCGTGAGAGGTTCCGCGCGGTCCGGTTCTGTGCGACGCGGTGTTGGTCTTCTCTTTTGCGGTGTGAGTCAGAAAACGCACAAGAACATTCCAGCCGATCCAATCCGTGCCAACTTGATTTGTTGGGCTCAAAGCATCGCAAATGCCAAAGTAGTAACTAAGTAGTAGTCTTTGAGCTCCAGAGTTCTGGGGCAGGTACATGCCAAGTTTTGAAGTGAATGAACCACGCCGTGTTTCGGCCACCGCTCGGGGCCAGCCCCGGAATGGGTCGGTTGGGGAACCCGGCCTCACTCGTCACGGAAGCCCTTTGAACTTGAAGAACCCAGCAGTTCCATGTCGCTCGGTGCTCTCCGAGGAATGAGTTGGGGTGCCCCTGTCACGTCACATCCACACCCGATGGGACGAGCCGCACCACCTAGCTCGAGCGACGAGGTGACTCCCTCGACCTTCCTGACCCGTCCCGTCCCGACTCAGATGCGCTCTGAGGCTACGAAGCGGTTCCTGCACTGAGCGTTTTGCTGTGCTTGGCCGCCGCTGGGTTCGCGAGGGCGGTGAAGTCCCGGGGTGGGGAAGGAGAGGAGGCCCCAATGACATGATGATTCTATCGGTGGTCACTTCAACTTACAGTGGTTCCAGAGTAGATGGCACTGGCACCCCTAAGATGTCGTTTATTTAGTCCAAAAAAGCCACCAAACGTGGGGATTGTGCCATCTACTCTGAAACCACTGTGTTGTAAGTTCTTTATCAACCAGTGTCCCTTCTTACTACACCCTTGACTGAAACTGCATTTCCAAGTTAGGCCAACTAGATTCTAGCCACACGGCCTACTTGACCACGAGCGGCCAGCAGACGCAGGTTCCGTCAGACGAGCTTGCAAAGCTTGCATCTACACTCAGATGAAGGAAACGAACATGCGAAGGAAGGCACCCTTCACACTTCCAAGTATGGTGGAGGGCCATAGGGCTCTGCTTACGAGGCCCCCCAACCTGCTCTTCCAGAAGGGAACCACTCATGAATTTGACGTTCTCTAAGGATGGCAGCCTCTCTGGTCAAATGCCAGAGATTCAGCCTGCCAGATGTGCTGATGGCAATTTTAGCGAAGGCGTCGGCAGCACTTGCAGAGACAAGGCCGGCGGCGTCTGGGCGATTTGGGCCGACACTGGAGGTTGGACCTGGGCACTGGTTGTTTGGCCCGACAAGAACCATATTTGTGGCCTGATGCAGCTTGCAGCTTGCCCCTGGTGAGCTATTCCAGTTGCCTTGCCCCTTGCGGCCCTCTTCCAGGTACAGAAGGGCCGCCATGGAGCTCCCAAAAAGGATGGCGATTTGGGCGATGATTTGGATTTTTTGGTGCCAGGTTTTGGGAGGCGAAAACATGCAACAACAGCTCCCAAAACCCCACTACCAAGCCCCTCCTTCTCCCCAGCCACCGCCTTCTCTGGTCATTTCCAGTTGGTGGATGCCGAGTGCTGGGCCTACTGCCAGAGGGGCTATGTGGGCGATCCGCAGAGGTGCGGAACCAACAAGTCCGATCCGATCCGACCAGGGCAGCAGGGAAGGTCCAGGAGCGAAGAAAGCTTCTGAAGCGTTGGGTGGAAGACTTCGGATGGAGAAATCCTGCAAGAGCTTGGGAGAATGAGACATGTCCTGTCCCATCATCCCATCCGAAGTTGGTTCCCTTCAGATATGGCCAGTCGGTTTTCACAAGGGCCAGGTGGGTTTGAGGTCTTAAAAACGTCCCCCCACTCGGAGACGGTGGCCTGGGTGGCCTGGGTGCAGGTTGAGGTGTTTGCCCTGCAGCTTCGATGGTCCTCATTAAACACCTTGACAAAAAGGATCCAACTTTTTGCCACCAAACTGAAGCGAAGGTGTGCCGACAGCACCCCATGACCTGCTACATGAATGACCTTTCTTTCCTGCTAGATGCAACAGCACCTGGTGTCTGGCTCCATGCTTGACACAACCCTCTCCCTTCCTTTTCCTTTTCCGCATCTCTTTTTCGTCTGGACCTGTTCGTCATTCTACTCACGGAGGTACTTCTGCCGCGTCAACGCGGCCACGGGGCTACCAGAAGTCGTCGCCGAGAACGTGGAGGCGACCTGCGCCGTGGACGCCAACGCCACCAACACCACGGCCGGCGGCGCGCGACGCCTGCAGAGCACGCCGTGCGACGCCACGTCGGCGCAGGCGCGGTTGGGGGAAGGTGGTGGAGGGCGAGTGATGTAGCAACTGGTGTGCCATCTGAATTTGCTGTTTACTGTGTTGGGAGAGAAGACAGCGCAACATACATAGTTTGTCGTTTGGGATGACACCGAGGACAGAATTTCCGTGGTCCGGCCAGGATGCAGATCAGTTCAGGACTTGCCTTCACCACCTTCTCCAATGTTCAAACGTGGGAAGTCAGGGGGGTGCCCAATCTGTTTGATGAGTCGGATGAGTGTAGGGCAGGGAGAACAACCAAATCAAGCTGAGATCCAAGACTTGCTCTTGGACCAAAACACGATGAACAAAAACCCTCTCCCAAAGACCCCGTGGTGGTGCCTGTGGAGCTGTCTCCTACACGTGTGTCTTAGGCAAGCGAGACCCGCGCAGAAGCCGACTGGCAAAAGGCTTCGATATATGCGATTTCAATTCATACGATGTTCGGGTGGCCGGACCGAGTGCCTGGCCCCATAATCTCGCGCTCTCGGAGCACTGAGAAGACCACTTTGCGTAGGCGCAAGGTTCGGTTTCACGAAACCAGGTGCATCGCTGCTTTTCACGGAGCAAGTGCTGTGATCTCATTGCTCTGATCTCCAGGTTTCGACATAGACTCCCTGAAAGGATGGACGTCGGAGGGACAACCCGTTGGGGTCGTTCGGGAAAAGGGTCAATCCGAGCTCGGGGCCGTCTGCCATCCGAACGGCCGATCATTTCATGGTTCGGTGGCAGTTGGGTTCGATCATGTGTTCTTGTACATGATCAAAGGCCCTGTACTGGGTATCCTTGGCACCGCTGTGAGTCCTTTGGCTTGCAAGACGTGCAGTTCGTGCATTCCTGTGCGAACCTCCCGCACGACGAGGCCGGGATGTGACCGGGCCGACGACCGGGAAAAGCCACCATGTGGTGTAGGGACGAAAGAAACTGAGACAGGAGACCCGAAACAAGGAGAGCAGCATATTGCGAGCTGAAGCCGCCCATCTGCTTTGTACCATTCCGAATGGTCATATCCAGTGCAGAATCACCGCCCAAATGTTGGCTTGTCGAGAAACACGTTCTATTTTTGGGGTCTGCTTCACCATCGTCAGACAGAGAAGACATGCGGCGAAGACATGCCGCGACACGGACTCAAAGACATGCTGCTGCTCGAGTGGACCAGTAACCATTGGAAGATGTTGGACTCACCACACAAGAACGATCAAAAACGACTGCGTCGCAGCCTTTCATGCAGTTCTCCATGGCCTTTCGTTGGACGCCTTGTCCGGTGTGGATGTGAGTTGCCACACCAAAGGTTCCGAGGTTCAGGTTCCGTGTCAAGTGCCTAAAAAGTTCCAAGTAAAGGTGGAAACCACCCCACGGCCCCAACCACCGTCGACCCACCGTCGGATCCGCGCGGGGCGCGAGGTTTGTGTGGCGCACTGCGACTTCGGCTGGGAACTCACCAGTGCCGTGCAGGTCCTAGCCGGGCGACCCAGGGGGCATCGGCGGATGGGTGCCGGGCACCGCATCGATCGTTGGCGGAAGTCGTGTGTGTGTTGAGCGGCGTTTGAACGGAAGCGGTTTGGGTGGGTGGGTGGGTGGTGCCTGAGTTCGATGCTTGGAGCATGTGCTATAGGTGTTGGCGACCCGCCCGCAGTGCTGGAAAAGGCATGCTTTGAACCCCATCAGGTGAGCGTGTCAACTGAAAACGGGATCTTCCGTCAGGTTTTGGAGGACCAAGGAGGCAAACCACGGCCCTTTCCAAACAAACGATTCGCCCAAAGAACCTGCCCAGATTCGCTCCCATGAACAGCTCCAGCTCCGAGCAAGGTCTGTGATACTGGAAACTTGCAAGGGATCTTGCCGGAGTGTCAACCTTTGCCCTGCAACTTCTCTTGGCCGGGCCCACAGGCGATTTGGCTCTAGGGACGTCGTCAGTGTCGGGAAGCCGTCAGTGTTGGGACAGGCTGATCAGTTCTGAGCGGGTAGCCCAGCTGTTCTTTTCTGGGAAGGCAACATGCGAAGAGGTTTCATGAGTTACGAGCGCTGGTTAAGAAGGCTGGGGAACCTAGCAACTGCACCATGTTAAAATATGTTCTACTAGGTTGGAGGCCATCGCTATTAAGTTGGAGGGCATTGCTGTATTCATTTACTCTCCAAAGTGAAGTTGATTGTGTTCATGAACTTCGGGTATCAACTACAGGAAACCGTGAGCCACACATTGACGTTGTGAGCAAGTCCACATGGGATGGAGCCGGGCAGAGAATCTCTTTCGGAGTCCACGAACGATTCGAAACCCGAAGAAACCCGAATGACACAGCTGGGAAGCTTGCAACGGAAGGGACGGCCCACCTTTCCCCCCAAGCAGCAAGCAGCAAGCCTTTTTGAGTTGACTTGTGAGTGAGTGAACACTATGGCGGATGGCCTTACATCACGCGGCTAAGCAAAGAGAAGCAACGATTTTTGGGACAACAAGCAAATCCACTTTGGAACCGCTACTCCCCCGCAGAGCCAGGTGAGCCATAACTGCACCGGAGCGGTGACCGGCGAGTCATGTGCCGCCAGCTGCATCCCGGGCTACACGGGCCAAGCGACCAGCATGTACTGCTCGTCCTCAGGGAACTTCGCGGGCACCGAACCGAGCCTCGCCCTCACGGCGACGCCAACGCGCCAACGCGCACGGAGCGACCGAGCGACCGGGAGTCTTTTGGGGGAGCTTTGAGAGACTTTGAAAGCCGCCAAAAAGACACTCACATGGGTTGAAGGGACCGTTTTGGGGGGTTCTTTTCCGGCTGTTTCGGAGATTTGGGACACCGTTTCAGATCGTTTTCATGTTTCTTTTGGGAACTGCGGATCCACCCTCAATCCCTCCAGTCGGTGAGGAAGCAGGCGGCTCAATGGCTGACTTTCTTCACGGAAAACACTGAAGCTGCTGGCCTTGATCCACTTTTTGGGGGATCCACTAGGGTCCTGCAGAACTTCTGGCACACTAGCTTGGTGTGCAGAGATGGTGCAAAAAGGAGGCCCAAACTGCCTGCGCCTGCAGATGCCCAGGACTTGCGAGCCCATCGTGTGTGATGCCCCTCAGATGGACCCGAAGTTTTCCCACGACTGCAGTGGTATCCAGCAGCCTGGGCGGCAGGGCGGGCAGCTGGTGAAGAATGACCGGGCAAACATGCTCTCTTCGCAGCAGCTAGTTGATTTGCTTCAAAGGCCTCCATGTTTTTTCGTATAGAAAGAGCCAAGAACGGTTAGTCAAGGAGTAAGAAGATACCCACTCCCAGTTTCACCTCCTTGTGTTGCCGAGAAGGACCGACGTCTGTTCTCGTTTCTTCCTCGCCATGTGGGTCGGAGCAACCGCCACGTTGCTCCATGGTTTCTGTTCTTTGAGACTGCGAGCCAGTCGGAGGTCGGAGAACAGCGCCACGATGTGGGCGACTTCTGACGTTTGGTGTGCCTCCAGAAGGGTCAACAGGGTGGTGGTCCACTTCCAGAAGGTAGTTGACAACAGCTGCATCAAGGACTGTGTTTGCCCGTATGCCCTACCAACAGAGGTTAAGTGACCTGAACTAGGACCCTACCAGCGTACCAAACTGGGATAGTCTCTAGTCTATAGGGTTCTTCAACCTCTGTTGGTATCCAAATATCTTGGGAGATGCGAACATCTCGAGTGCGGATTCGTTCTCGTCCTCATCTCCGCCATGTCTCGGTCTCCACGTGTCTCCCCAGGCTGGGGCAGACCTGCACCGTGGTCTGTGCTGCCGGCTACGATCTCGCGGGAGGTGCCGGGTCCTCCGGTCCGGTCGGGTCGGTGCCGGGTCCGACCGAAGGGGAGAATCAATGCCAGACCCCAGCCTGGACGTCTGGAGTTGGCGCCGGGGTCCGTGGCACTGGAGAATTCGGCGAGTGAAGTGGCTTTGAAGTTTAAACATGGAAGAGAATCTTGGTGCAACCAGCTACTTGACTTCAAGGTCTGCACGGGTGGGACCGCATCTCTCCGAGAAAACCCGAAGACACTGGACTGGCCGTGTGAGACATTCCCCAATTTCCAAGCAGTTCCGGTCTAAACTTGGATCTCCCATGTTTTTGGAATAAACAATCCACAAGAACGGAGCAAGAAGCTACTAGTAGATACTAGTAGTAACAAAAAGCTCTAGTATTTTTATGTATTTTTGTTTCTTTTTCTTTTGCGTGTGGTAGCAATGAAGACGACCCGCCGGCAAAAGGGGTGACCGAACCAAAGGCTTCTTCTGGGTGATTCCCTCGTCCTCGTCCACGTCCTCGACGTGGAGCTGTGCATTCCGACGCTCTTTTCGCGCGTTTTCCATGGATCCGCCCGCCAGAACCTGGCCGCATTTCCTGCAGCACCGATGGCAGCTTTACCGGGGAATTGCCCAATTGCAGTGCCGTCTCTTGCGTTGCTCGGCGGCAGTGCCGCCTCATGTTGGTGACAGACATGACCCCGGAACGGACCTCATTTGACTGGAGTTGATCATGCAAAAGGTACCACTGACATCTACTGAATGAGGTTGAACTGGATCAGGTTTGGACCTGGGTGAGACTGGAGCTCTAGGGGACATATATATTCCTTTTTTTTGGCAACAGCCGGAAACCTGTTGTTGGGCAGCAGTATACTGTTGTATGCTGCTGTTGGGCTTCTCTCTTAGGACAAGGCTGGCCACCATCGGTGGCCACGCTGGCGAAGCCTTTGTTTGGGTGTTGTTTTGCTGTTGTCCTTCTGGGTGTTGTCCTTTATGTCCCCCAACTGTTGATGCTTTGTGTTTGGCAAGAGTTGCTATTACATCTTATGACGCTGTTTGGGGTCTATCCCGGGCGTAAGTTTGGTTGAAGGAGCTCACTGCCCTATGTCACTATGTTCAAAGTCCAAGTGCGACATCCATTCCCCTCTCATCCCCACGGCCGCTCCCTTGAGGGTCACTCAGGTCACTGTGAAAACACGCAGGAGACTCGTCCCAACAGCTTCCAACGGCCGCGCCGTTTGCCGCGAGTTCCACGCCGGACCTGCTGCGCGTTCCGCGCGGCGCAGCGCCGAGGCCAACATCGTGCCGAATGACATCGCCTTCGGCCGCGATGGCTGTGATGGAATGATCTTCGGTGACATCTGCAACGTCACGTGCCACCTGGCAACGACGACGCCGCGGAACCGCGGCTCCGGAATCGGAAGCGTCGTGCCACCTTTCCCTCCTTTTTCGCGAAGATCGTCGATGGACATGGCGGAATGACCTTCCACGCGTCACGCGTCACGCGGGGTCACGATCCTTGAAGGTGTTTTATGTTTCTCGGTGGCAGCCGGTGCCAATCTCTGACGGCGAGACCCGGCGCCGGAGAAACGACTCGCTGACCTTGGAGTCGTGGTTTCTTTAATTATTGTATAGTGATAGTGGTTTGGACGTGTGCGCGGCAACATGGATCCAAATGGATGGTTGAGTGGGGATTACAACATATATGACACGCATCCAGACTTCTACAGGGATTTTTGGACCAAACAAACTTCCATCTGTCAGAGTCCAAGTCAGCTAAAGACTCAGCGGTCGCAGGTCCAAGCGGTTCAGGTCCCAAGGCGGGTGACGGGTTTGAGGAGATCCCAGCGGACATTCGCGACCGGCAGGCAACCCGGGCTACGTGGCCAATACGACCACCTTGGAGTGCAGCAGCCCCCTGGTTGGGGATAGGGAGGTGCAGGGAGGGTGGAGGGAGTATTCTTTGGGGGGGAAGCCCTTTCCTGTATCCCAGTCACACCCCGATCACCTTGAACTTCAACAGTTGTCCTCGATGGTGGGAGGCTTTTCGAAACTGAGCACCTTCAAGAAGCACCGACCTCCATGACGGTGGTCCGTGGCCTGCGTCGACCTCCTTTTCTTCACACTTATGACTCTAAGAACCGGGTTCTTCCTCAAACCATTCTTTCATCATACCCCCTTGCAAAACGATCCGTGTGCAAAGCCACCTTCAACGATCCAGTGACCCAGTGACCCACCGGGGCCTGGCCCCAACATCCATCCGGGGCAGCGAACTCTCACTGGGCTCCGCCGTCCGTTCTCGCCGTCGTGGTGACCGCGGTTCGATGTGAGACGCTCGCGGGTGCGCCCTTCGGCGCTGGTCCTCCTTGTCCTCCTCAAGAGAACAGGTCACCCTCCGTTTCGGGGCCTTCGAACCCGAGTTTGGGATGACGTTTGCGGAGCGAACAAAGATGTTGAAAACGAAGATGTCGAAGAAGCTTGGAGGAGAAGTTGCAGGGTTTTGGGTGGTGATTCACTGTGGTGATTCACTGTGGTGATTCACTGTGATGATTCACTGTGATGATTCACTGCGAGTCACAGTTCCCAGAAAGGAGTGCTCCTTCCCATCCAGGAGCGCATTTGTTGTATCTCGATGTAAGACCTGAAAGCTGGATTCAATGCCAGTGGGTTGGATGGCATCTATCCGGATCGGCTTATTGCAATCAAAGTACTGCACAGGACAATAAGGACATCTATACTTCAAGAACCCTAAAGTTTACGCTTCTTACTCTGTTCCAACATGACACTTGCGGTCTACAGCGGATCGGATTGACACGTCCATTTTGCCTAGCAGGTACAGCACGGTCAGATTTCCACACCCGTTTAAATTAGTAAATAAGGCTTTCAGGTGTGGATATCTGACCGCAACTTAGGCGTCGACATGTTGCACCTAGGATTCTAAGGGGAAAGGGTTTGTCCTGTTTTAGAAGTCAAGAAGCGCAACTTTCGGCACCCCAGTGTATGGATATGATATCAGCACTCCATGTATAGGATATACATGGTTATATAATGCCTACATTGACCCCGACACCACCCGAATGTAGGCCAACATGGCAGTCCCATGGAGTGTCTGGAATGAACCATGTTGGTATGAACCAAGTATTTACCTTAAGCACGAACACGTCTTTCTCGGAACCCGAATGAAGCAGCTAGTTTTCCCTTCCTTATCCCTTCCTTATCCCTCCTCACCCCTCCTCCTCCTCCTCCCTTCCTTATCCAAGCTTGCCCATCAGGTCAAGGCGCTTTGGTTGGGCGTTTGCCCATCTGCAGAGCTGAACCCTGCTCAGGCCCACGCCCGGTCCCGTTCGTCGTGCCGGTCCCGTTCGTCCACCACGGGGTTCCCCACGTGAGGTGGAGAAACGAGGGATGGTGAAGGACTACAATCGTGTTCCGACCCATGGCAGCCTAGTCTCCTGGTCCGTTCCCCAACATGTTCGTTGTCTTCTTACGATCAACTCCAGTATTTGAGGTCAGGAACCCTGATCCTTTATTTTTGGGAATCCAGACTTCTCCAAAATGGATGCTTCGCTCCGCGTGGAGCAGTGAACATGTTCATGCCAGACGCTTCATCCGCTCGCACCTTCGACCGGATGAACCACCCTCGCCCCGGTCCGCAGTCAGCCTTTTGCTGCGGCCCGAGCTGATGAGCAACTGCGAGGGTGTCACCTTCGGCAAGAATTGCAGCGTCTTTTGTGCAGCAGGCCGCCGGCGCTTGGTGGTGGACAGTGGCTGCAGCCTTTTACCACGATTCGGCCCAGGTGGTCCCTGAATTCTTCGACCCCGACGGTTGAAATGATGGATCTCGAAACCATGTCGTGGACGCAAGGGACCCTGGTGGTTCTGATGGTCTCATGGGTTTCCTTTGGGTGGCTTGCAGCGAGCATATTCTGCTGCGCAGCGTGATATCTGCTAGTGATTCGTCGATCGTGGGCGGCAAGTAGCAAGCAATGCAAGTGTTTGGGGAAATCCGACGGCATCCCGTCTGCGGACTCAAGCTTCTCAGCTACCAACCTTGCAGCACGAAGAACGGGCGACACCAGTGTCACCAACCAGTGGCCCGAAAGCTTGAAGATATGGTAGAGAATCTATTTGTTCCATTTTTTATTTCCTGTGGTCAACCCCCTGATTTCGACCCACAGCCCTGTGATCTAGGAAGTCCCAGTTGGATGCCCCTTGGGACCAGGTCTGGTCAGGTCTTTTCGTCCAAACCACCCCCACTTTGGCTTCGCTTTCGTCGCCGAGTTGACGAGTTGTTTGGAACGAAAAGGGAACGACGTGAACCGCTGAACGAGCTGGTCGTTCGTCCCGAAAAGCATGGTTCCAGTCACCTCGTTCGACCTCTGACTGGAGCCCGACCGGGGCGCTCCGTCGCTGGCGGAGAGAGGCTTTGAAGCGGCGGACGGAGCGGGATTGGAACAGTTCAGTTGCAAGAAAGGTGCCCCGACGACGGCGGCGCGTCGTTCCGGACGCTTTCGCCGCGTTCCGCGGTTTTCGCCGCGGGCGGCTGCTGCGCGACTTCTTTCGGAGCTGAAACCGGTGCAGCTCAGAAGACCGGGTAGCATTGCTGTTCATCTACCAACACTCATGTGCAGAATGGAAGATCTTCCAGGCATTTAAAGGCTGGGACTCCAGCAGTTCCAAAAGGGCGCCTATCCAAAAGATTCCAAAAGGATAGGGATATGTCGGTGCCCATCCACCCATGTTCGGATCTAAAAGCCCCACCCGTTTGGAACTCGGCACGTGTACATGCAGGGTGTAGGAGCGGAGGTGGGCGTCTCAGCAGACATGATTTGGGTGCAAACAGGGTTGCTGACCGAGGTGCCCAGTGATTTGAAGATGGACCTCGCACAATGGGGGGAATGAAGAAAACATCCTTCTTAGGATGTTCTAAAGAAAAGACCACAGAACAGATAATAATAGAGCAGGATGATGTTGCATTCTTTTGAACAGTTCTTGGCGATAGCACAATGTACAACATGCACTACAACCATTCGCTGAATGTTGGCCCACGACCAAGCAAGGGCAGCTGTTCATATGTGAGGCATATTATCACACGAACGTGTTCTTCGCCGCAGGCGACCCAGTAATGGGTGCATGCGTGTTGTATTGGAGGGAAGGATCCTTCATTTTCAGCAGAATGTCCGGCGAGCGGATCCTAAGCTTCGCTCACCCCACTCAACCAAAGCTTCGCTCTCCCGGAACTTGAGCCTCCACGCTGCGCGGTTCGCCCGGCTCGCCCGCACCGCGCGCGCATGCGGCTCATGGCGCGCGCCGCGCCGGACAGGCGGCCTCTTGGAAGGCGCCTTGCCGAATTGCGTGGCCGCGCCCTGTGTGGATGGCCTTCCTCTGCCCTCTGATCGGTCCGATGACAACTGCACCAGCTTGACCTTCGGGGAGCTTTGTCGGAATGATGAGGGAACTCAGGGAAGAGGGAACGAAGAGGAACGAAGAGGAGTTGAGAAACACCCACCTGTTATTATACTGTATAGGCTGTTTCAATGTCATGTTTCATGGGATATCTTCTGGGTTCAAGAACACCTTGGTTTTTTCAGGGTCTTCCCACGTTCTTAGGAGCGATCGGACGCTACGAACGGGGCTCCTGGCCTTCTGGCCTTACTACGGAACAAGGTTCGCTACGAACGTCACAAAGGGGACGAAGGGAGCGATCGGACGCTACGAACGTTCTTCCGAAGTGAAGATCTGGACCGGTGGCTCTTCCCCCCCGGGTCGACCGGTTCGGCGTGGGACGCCACGACCGGAGCGCCGAGTTTGTGACCTAAGGAGACCTGCACCGAGCAATGCGCGGAAGGCGAGCAGTTTTTGCAAGGATTTGGACCTGAGCTGTGCTGGATGTTGTATATAGACCAGCACCTGGAACCCCAAACAACCAGAAAGAAATTGATGTTTCCCCAAACAACCATTTCCTATGTAAAGGATTTCAATTGCCATATTGGAACAACCATTTGTTTCTGGTTGTTTGGGGTTCCAGGCAGTGCTGGTTGGAAAAAGATTGGAATGAAAAGCACCACCTGCCGCACAGAGTCATTGTCTAAGAATCGGTCTGCACAGAGTCCACAGAGTCGGCTCCGCACGGCCGCCTGGTTCGTGGGGAGAAGTCCCGTGGTTCGTCTTCCCACATCGATGTGAGTGAAGACGAGTTCGACGTTCTCTTCCCAGACGTTTCGAACGGCAGGTGTGGGGAGGTGCGGGTTGGGAGGTAGGGAGGTACATCCGTGACCGGACTCGACGATTCGGGCTTGGAGAGTCAGGACATGCTTCGTTTTACAACGGGTCTCGGCGACGGCTGGTGATCCCGTGTGGGCATGGCTGGACGCTTTCCAACAAAAATCGACCGCGAAAAACACCAGGACAGTCGAAATACATCACCCTAGGGCTCCAAGTACCTCCTCAGAAGGTATCTGGACCCTCTCAACCCACCCCAAACACCTTCTTAGAAGGTACTTGGAGCCCTAGGGTCAGCCAGGCTGGAGTCGTTGGATCCCGCGATCCCGCGCATGTCCGAACTCCGCTGTGAACTCCGAACTCCGGATCAGTCGAAGCATGCGAGGTTATGGCGGTGCTCCGGTGTCGTACTCCTGCGGTTCAGCGCCTTGGTCGGTGGATGGGATTCATCCGGTCGACGGTAGACCGACGGTGTCGACCGACCGAAGTGGAGGTCGGTGGTAGAGACGGAAGATGACGGCGGCGATGCGCGGTTGTTCAGCACCTCCCAAGCTCAGCGGGTCACGGGCTCCAGCTTCAAGCTGGAGACTCAAGTGGTTGAGGAGGTGCCTTCCAGATTGGTTTGGTTTGGGATGATCTTCAGATTGGCCAAGTGCGCGGGTGGAACACCCCGTGCTGACCAGACGAACTGCTGCGGCTCAACGAGCGGTTCGCCCCAGCCAGACGCCCGAAGTCGAACGAGGACAGTGTGGCCACAGCCAGCTCCACCTCGAACTGCAGGCAGGTTGTGTGGCCACTGATTCTTTTGGTTCGAAGCTGCAGGTGCCAAACATCTCGGATTGGAGTGGACGTGTCGCAGATTTTGGGAGCGAAAAGAAGGGACATCGGTTCAAGGCGCAAAGGAATTGAGCCTAAATTAGCCCTCCGAAGCCGAGACACTGAAACCTTGAAAAACTCCAGCTTTTTGACGTGTGCAGGATATCTCAGTGCGCAGGGGATGTGGTCCCAGCACTTTTGGAGAGTACCTGCACCAACGTTTCCTTTGGACGAAGCTGCTATGCCTATTGCCCACCGGGCTATGTTGGCGTACCTTGGTGGCAACAGAGGCGGTTTCATCGCCGCTATGGCACCCGACAACGCCCAAAGGCCATCCCTGTTCCGAATTTGCACCGGTGGGAATTCATCGGACCCCGCGGTGTGGCGTCAGAGGCTTGGGCCAGTCCTGCAAGGGAGAGGAGCCCAAAGGAATTCCAGAAGCCCATCAGAACATGGGGCGTTCTCCAATCTTCCATCTAAACGTTCTTCAGGTTCGGTTTTTCAACATGTCAAAACCATTGAAACCTTCAATGCTTCTCCCCGAACCCACCCGAACTTGCCCCCCGAACCGGCCTCCTCCGCCGCCCCGCCACCGTCCCGTCGCGCCAAGGAGACGCTGGCGACGCGCTTGCAATGCTTCGGTCCCTCCTCCGGGCTGCCGGTGGTGGGCAACGCGCAGGACAACGACCCACGACCCACGACCAACCCGTGACCAACCCGACCTCGCCATGGGCCGGTGGATCTGAAGCGATGGGATGTGGAGGAGGTGAATTGAAACATCTCAATATGTAGCAGCAAAATAGCAGGCTGGTGCTGGTAAACGATGAACAGGCAGAATCATGGAATCATCATGAAAGTGACAAGCCCTCTTTTGAGGTGTTTTTTGAATGTTTTGACCCTCCAATTCGGGAGCTTATTTGAAAGAAAATGGAACATTTTCTGCAGGACAATAGACGATGCACTAGGGCGGGGGAAGGTGGATTGGCCAATCCATTTTGGCTCAAGCCAACCTTCCAATTTTCTTTCGGAAGGATGCCTTTCGCGGGCCGCTTGTTAGCGGTTCTGGTCGCTGGCCATGTTTCCGAGTGCGGAGGCGGCTTTGCAGATGGCCGGGATTCCCGATCTGCTGACGCATTTCGCGGTGCCGGAGGACTTGTGGACGGCCTTTGTCCGCGAAGCGGGAACTCCTGGCGACGACATCAGGCTGTTGGCCGCGCTTCCTGGCTCGGTGGTGGCCGCCTCTTTGAATCAGGCGACCTTGGCGGACGATGTGGCCCTGACGGCCGTGCAAGCGGCCCAAGTGGGGCTGGTGTGGAAGCTGGCGAGAAGGCTGATGTTTGTGCGAGGTGGCGGCCGGTGGGACGACTGGGCGGAGGAAGACCCTTGGACCCCGACTTCGAGGACATCGAGGACGTCGATACCTGCGGAAAGGACTTCATCCACCGACGAACTCAGGGAGGCGAAGGAACGGACGCTGAAGTTCACCCAGGTACTAGTTCAAGGAGACGATGGAGAATTCGAGGTGCTGAACGAAGAAGACAAGATGGGGCTGCTCCAAAAGTTCATTGCAGTGACGGGGTCACTACCGGAGGAGGAGGAGGAACCCACGATAGAGCAACTCTCAGCACTAAAGAAGAAGGTCCAGCTAGGCAAACCACCCTACTGCGACTTCGGGGTCTTCGTTCCTTTCGGAAGGAAGGCGCTACGGGCTTCGAAGTACAGGACATGGATCCCGACTGCCGAGGGCTACGTGTCGAAGGAACTACCGGGTCCGGCGAACTTCACACAGTGGAGGGCTTGCTACCGGGTCTTCACCACGGCAATGCTGATGCTGGAGGCTTGCTCATTACCCCCACTGCACGCCTACGAGCTGTATGTGGAGAAGTTGACGAGGCTGTACCCGGATGCATGGCACCTAGTCTATGCGGCGGACGAGATGGCGAGGAGCGAGTTGCTGTCAAGACTCAAGCTGAGGATCACCATGGACAAGATGGAGGGCAAGAAGGTGCCGATGGGCTACGACGAGAAGAAACCATGGGAAACCCCATTCCGAATGATCCCAAGCGAGCTGAAGTTTTGGCAGGACCAGATTCATGGACCTGCCCTGACGTGGATGGCTGCAGGATCGAAAGGAAGAGCACTAACTCCTCAGGAGACCATTGCACAAGGAGCCCTACGAGGAGGTGCAGAAGCTCTTCAACCAAGCATGGAGTCGGGCGCTTTCGGAGCCACTTCACCGTCCGCGGCGTCTTCAAGTCGAAGGAACGCGAATCGAGATCGCAGGGAGGCGAAGAAGAGAAAGTGGCAAGCCGAGCGGGAGGAACTTCAACGACTCAGAGAATCCCGAAACGATGGAAGTGGAGGACTTCGTCAAGGAGGAAAAGGAGGCGGGAAGAAAGGAAGAGGAGGGAAACAGCCCGAGATCTGCTTCAGTTGGAACAATGGGAATGCACCTTGTGGATCCTTGCCAGCGGGAGCGGAATGCCAGAACACGACGAAACGGGCTCATCGATGTTCTTCGTGCGGTTCACCAGGTCACCCAGCTCATCGGTGCGGGTCGAAGAAGTAGGGAAATCAACGGAAGATCAAGGAGAAGATGGAGCCCGTGAAGGCGATGATGAACCGGAGGGTTCAAAGAAGAAAGAAGGAGATGAAGGCGAAGCAGATGACGAAGGTGCAGGAAAGAAGAAGTTGGAGGAGTCCATCAAGGCGTACATCAAGGCCCGCAAATTCAGGTTCGTTCACCACTTTGCTGGACCTCGAGACCCACTGGGTGCGGAAATCCACCGGATAGCGAAGAAGCGTGGAATGACAGTGGAAGTGATCTCGGTAGAAAAGGATTGGGGGCAGGACCTTTGCGCGGACGAACCCTTCAACACGCATCTTGGTTGGGCGAAGGAAGGGTTGATCGACGGCTACCATAGTGGCTTCCCTTGCTCGACGTTTTCTCGCCTCCGATTCAGAGAAGCCGAAGGACTACCCCCTCCTGTTCGAACTCGAGCTGAACCATACGGGTGCAAATCGAACTCCGAAAGGCAGCAGGCGGAGTGCGACAAAGGGACGGTGATGATGGCCAGATCGGCGCAGATGGCTGAGGAAGTGGCGAGATCAGCGACTTCATCCATCGTCATCAAACCTACAACCTTGGAGAACCCGCCGCCTTCGGAAAGGAGCGACCATGTTTCGGCTTGGGGCATGAGCGAGGTGGTGGCCTACCTTCGATGCCCTGGAGTGAAGGTCACCCAGTTTAACACTTGCGCTTATCAAGCGGAACGTGCACGAGGCGATCGACACTGGAAGTTGCAGCAGTTCGCAGGAACCCTGTTCGGCATCGAGCAGCTCAGCAGAGAGTGCAAATGTGGGAGTGCAAAACACAAGGCAATCATTGGGAAAAGAGCCTCACAAGAGTCGGGGGAATACCCCTGGGAACTATGCAACGAGTATGCCAAGCTGCTCATGGACCACTTCGAAAAGATGGCGACAGCGGAATACCTCGAGGGCCGCATGAAGGAGCTGGACCAATTCCATGACGGCCTGTCAACGGGTGATGCTGAAGCCACAAAGATGAGAGAATTGAGGAAGAAGGAAGGAGTGAAAATCTCACCATCATCGGAGCCCGAGAGGAAGAGGAAGGAGAGAGACCACGACCGAGGACGACACGAAGGGAAGTTCAGGAAGGGGACGAAAGGGAGGACAAGAGCCCAGTTGAGAAGAAGAAGAAAGACGAACAACGAACGCAAAGGGAAGAAAGAAGGAGGTCGAGGTCAAGATCCAAGAGACAGCGAAGGGAGGAAGGACCCACCACGTCAAGGCGGAGGTCAGGAGACTCGAGGCGAAAGGAAGACAAGAAGAAGAAGGAAGACGTGAAGGAGGCAGCTGACCTACGCTGGAGACCGGGGAGTGGAAAGTATGGCATGCTGAAGGAGAGCCAAAAGAAAGAACAGAAGCTCGACCAACAAGACTTCGTTGGAGGTATGAAGAACCCGGCGGAGGTGGTGGAAGGACTCCCAACACTGCAAAACTTGGGACGTAGAATCCTGGGGGCATGGGAGCGGCTGTGCGGTCAAAACCCGCAGATCACCAAGGTTGGGGAGACCTACGGCTCGCCGGACTGCGTCTTGGAGAAGAAGTGGGTTGATCGATGGAAAGGGGAGCTGCGCAAGCTGACGGGCGCGAAGGGGGCATCGACGGTGAAGTTGAAAGGGAAGTGGGCCTACCAATCGCCATTGGACGGGAACCTGTTCGAGGCGTGGGGACGTCGAGCCAATGACCCGGAGACGGAGGTGGCCAAATGGATCAAAGATGGAGTACCCTTGGGAATCAACTCGAACATCCGCAGATGCAACATCCTCCCACCTGCGGACGACAAACACCACCAGAGGGAGTTGGGGGACGTTGGAACTGCTCAAAGCCTGCGGGAGGACATTGGGAACTACGTCTCGGTGGTGGAGCAGAGGGAGGACGCGGAGGCGGAGATAGAGCGCTTGAAGGGGCTGGGCTATGCCATCGCGGTCCGAAAGGAGGAAGTGGAGGCAGCAGGTTTCGAAGGGGTCACCATCTCCAAACTGGGACTGATCGTGAAGACGAAGGAGGATGGGTCCAAGAAGAGAAGGATCATCATTGACTTGCGCAGGTCCGGGGGCAACAACAAAGCATTCTTGCCAGAGCGGCTAGTGCTACCAAGGCCCATGGACGCAGTGCGAATGCTGAGGAGATTGCACGCATCGCAGGCGGAGGAGAAGGAGGCTCACAAGCGAACTATGGAGTTAGTGATGATAGACATCTCCGACGCCTACATGCATCTAGCCATCAAGGAGGCAGAGAAGGGGCATTGCTTAGCGCCGGCATTGGATGACGATCACTGGCTGCTGTTCGTGGCACTACTATTCGGCTACAAGACGGCACCATTGACGTGGAGCAGGGTGGCGGCGATGGTAGCAAGGCTAGTGCAGTCCATTGTGCCGGTGGAGAAGGGCATGCATCAGGTGTACCTGGATGACAGCCTATGGGCATTGTGCGGGACGCTGAATGAGCGCAACCGCGTCCTGGCTTGCATCCTCACGACGATGGCGGCCCTGGGGCTGAAGCTATCGTTGAACAAAGGAGAACGCGGGGCGGCCGTGACGTGGGTCGGGATCAGGTTCAAGCTGGTGGCGCCAGACTACGACCACCTCATGGTCACCCTGCCGGAGAAGTTCATGAATGAACTGCAACAACAACTGGAGGCCTGGGACAACAAAGGGATGATAAGTGCTACAGAACTACGCAAAGCCGCGGGAAGAGTAGCGTGGCTTGCAGGCATTCTACCACGGGCCAAGTGGGTCACAGCATCCTTGTACGCTACTCTCTACAGTCACGAGGATGACGTGAACAGGAACAGCGGAGCTGAAGCAGAGCGGCGAGCAAAGAGGAAGGACTCACGGCCTAAGGACAACCTGATTCCAGTGAAGCGAGTGGGCAAAGCGAAACAGTGGCTCACAACCTACCTGGCGGCGGCGAAGGAGCGGCCAATCAGGAAGTTCAACCTATACAAGAGTGGGAAAGCGGAAGCCACTCTGATGACAGACGCAAGCCCACAAGGCCTAGGAGCCATCCTCTTGGTCAATGGGCGAGTCACGAAGGCCCTGGCGTCCCCGGTGACAGAGCACGACGCGAAGTTGCTGGGCTTCGAATTCGGGG